GTATAAAATTGCATATAAAGGCCATATGTATACATTACAAAAAATATGTTTGAATTTTATTCGTTGGCGTTGTTCAAAATTTAGTTCGCTTAAGTGTCCGTGTATTTTAAAAGCGTGCTTAAATATAGATAAACTAACGTTTTTAACTTTAAATAATGACCACGTGCATGAGGGAAATGACAATTTAATTGGTGCAGCTAAAGTGAAACGATTAATGATCGAAAAGGCGAAATCATCACATGCAAACACCTAGTCAAATATATTCGGAAATAGTTGCCAATTGTACTACCAATGTACTCGCAGAATTACCTCGGGAGGACTATTTAAAACGGTCGATTCGAGGTAATTGAAAGAACTATGTACACGAATCCAAAATGATGAAATAAATGTTGAAGACTTCCTAAAAGCGATTGCTCATAACATCAGAAAGCGCTGTAATGACAAGGTAATATTATAATTACATTACTTTTTACGGTACCTAATATACAATATTTATTTATATTACCAATTTTTTATAAAATGACAACTTTTAAAATAATATACAATATTAATATTACTTATATTATGTATATAATTTATAACATACCTAATAGTACGGTACTACTGGGGATTTTTTTTCCCGGGGATTTTTTTTCCGCAATTCGCGGCGCTGGCCGCTGACGTCCTTGGCACTCCGCGTCCGCCGTCCGCACACGTTCGRTGTGGCTGGTGTGTGGTGTGTCGTGCAGATACGACGGTCGTCGGTACGTCGGTTACATTCATARTTGGGCGGCTTTCAGCATTCAGCGTCTGCGAYGGCGGCGTTCCAGTTGGTGCTGACGTTTCTGGATTTTTGGATTTTATATGCGACGTTCATACGCCATATTGTATAATACAATATAATATACGCATACACGTACGACGTACTAGAAAAGTAATCTTGAAAAGTTTTCCTGTGTCATTGCATGGTGATTCTTTGAATAATGATTATTCAATGGATTTAAGTAACATAATTTATTGGATYGAATCTTTTAAATTTACTCGGAACATTTCTAGTCTAGCGCCCACGCGAATTTTTCAATTTTTTTTTTTTGGAAACCTATGCGTTTTAACACGAGTTTAGAACGATATTGCAAAAATTAATTGGCGGAAACCATTATTTTGGAAGTTATAGCCTTCCAAAGTTTGCAATWTTACGTTAAAGTTTATGTCGTTACGTTGCTACGCTCCTCGGCGCCGTCGCTCAGCTCCGCAAATCGAAAATATCCCTCGACTTGCTGTGCAACACCACCTTAAGTAGGTCACAGGGACAATGGGAAATCCCTAACCAAAATACATTTGACGAAAAAAAGGTAATAAAAACGTTGATTTAACTAGGATTTGAAAAAAAAATAATTTGTAAATGTTATGCCCGGCCGGTAATTCACATCCATAGACTTAAAAAGCCGGTTGCCAGTATTAACCAATAAAAAGCCG